TGCATTTCCCTCTCACAGTAAGTCAGGGAGGGGAGGGGGTGAAGGGCCAGGGCTGGCTCCAGGCACCAGCCCACCAAGCTGGTGCTTGGGGCGGCACCTGGAGGGGGGCGGCGCAGTGCTCCGGCCCGAGAGCAGGTCCGCGACTGGGCTCGCCGCCCTCTCCCCGGCGCTGCCTCTGGCCGCCGGGCTCGCCGCCCTCCCCCCGGCGCTGCGCGGGGAGAGCGGAACCCCGGCGGGGCTCGCCGCCCTCCCCCTGGTGCAGCCTCTGGCCGCCGGGGAGAGCGGAGCCCCGGCGGGGCTCGCCACCCTCCCCCCCGGCGCTCTGGCCCCCGGGGAGAGCGGAGCCCCGGTGGGGCTCGCAGCCCTCTCCCCGGCGCTCTGGCCGCCGGGGCTCCGCTTTCCCCGGCGGGGCTCGCCGCCCTCCCCTGCTTCCACTCTCTTCACCCAGAGGCCTGCTCTGGAGCTGGGCTGCTGACTCATCCAATCAGTCAGGCGGTGTAGCCAGACAGACAACCTGCTACGGGCCAGCTGTGCTCATTACATTGCCCAGAGACTGGCTTTGATGCAGGCTCGGCTTCGTGACACAGAGCTTCTTGGGCACAGAGCTCGCTGGAGGGGTAGACATGGAGATTGCACAGTGAGGAAGTTGCTGCTGCTGTTAGACTCTGAGGTGCACAGGGAACACGCCTGTGTGTGAATGACCAGGATGACACTGAGAATCTCCCTGACTCGTCTCACAGATTTTCATCCTAACAGAAATGCCCTGCAAAGCCCTGAATATCAGCTGAACATCTCGGGCCCAAAGGGGCTGCCCTCTGGCACTCACTGCCCTCACTAACAGAGACCAAACAGCAACACATCCTGCAATGCCATCCAACTCGCTCTCTGGTGCAAACCTGTCACAGGGCCCCTGAGCAGTGTTAAGGCAGAGTAGATTCCCCACCACCCGGAGCGGCTGACAGCCAGGTGGGCAGATCTGTGTGTCCGAGCTTCTGTGTGCCCCATTAAGGGTTTGTGCCAGAGAGCGAGTGGGATAGAATTGGGGGACATGTGGGTTTTTTGGAGGGTAGAGGCCATGACCCACAGCATTGTGGGTAATGTGAAAATATACAAGTCTTTCCTTTTAACTCCTCATCTCCCTCCTTTTAAGGCTTGGGTGGGTGGGTACATCCCGATGCCATCACTAAACTAAGTAGTTGTCTGTGTGAACATAATTTGCCTTTCCTGACCTTGTCCTGAAGCTGCATTCCAAAGAGACTCCTCTCAGCCACTCAGTTCTTGTTCCCTTTCAGTCCTCCTGTTGCTTCCCAGGTGCCCCTGTAACCCAGTGAGGTGTGTCTGTCACAGGTGCCACTCTGTGCCAATCCACAGAGGAGATGAGTTGCCTGCTCCCCTCAATGTCACCTGGCAAAATTCTGTACATCTTTGTTCACCAAAGAGTGTTGTGTCAGGTATCAAAGGAAGGCTGATGTCACACTGGTTGTGAATAACGTCATAAAATATATGTGCAGCTACTATGTAAGGCGTTATGTCTATGTACTAGAACTATCTTCTTAGCATTTCTATCAAGAATGGATTGAGCCCCAGCAGAGATGAAACACTAATTTCCTGCCAGACCAGAGACGGATATGTTTGGCTTTTTGGCAATTCGCACTGGAAGGGGATTTGAGGACCAAAAAGCTGGACATGTCTGGGAAAAACCGGACGTATGGTAACCCTAGAATAGGGGTGGGCCCAGGGAAGGGGCAGAAATTGGTGGGGCTGTGGGCAGGGGTGTAATGGGAGCGTAACTGCAGGCAGAAGGGGTAGGGAGGGGCCCCCCACTTGCTCAGGCCCAGAACCCCAGGAAACCTTAATCCGCCTTTGCATCAGATGAGTGCCTCCCAGCCAGTGCCCTATCAAGGGTGAGGCAAGAGAGTCACTTCCCTCCGGCACACAAAGCCAGGGGAGCGCAGAAAGTGGTGGAGAGAACAAAAAAAAGCTGCTGGCATGGAGATATTTATAACCCAGATGATCTTCCCCCCCCCCCGGCCCCACCTGCCGCCCCCCTGCCTCCCCTGAGTGTCTCCCCGCCCTGACTTGCTCCCCCAGCCCAGGAGGAGCAAAGAGTCCCTGTCTTTCCCCTGCAGCAACTGCTGCCGGAGGGTCCTAGTGCCCCCAATCTCGACTGCCAGGGCAGACTGACTCTGAGCCTGCCCTTCCCCCTCAGACCTTTTCATTTTCCAATGGGCCCCTCCAGCAGCACAGGGGACCCACCCTCCCACAGTCACCGCTCCTGCCCCATGCTGGGCAAGGAGGCAGCCCCATTCCTCACCCCCAATGAAGCTACAGTCAGGGGCAACAGCAGGGGAGGAGCCGCATGCAACATCCCCCGGCACCCACCATGGGGGAGGCGAGGGAGATTCCTGGACCTGAGAGGGGCCCTAGGAGCACATGCAGTGACAGTGGTGGGGGTGAGTGTGCTGCTGGGGGGGCAGGAAAGGGGGGCTCCTCCCCCAGAGCTTGCTCCTGCCGGCAGGGAAAGGGCTGGGGGGAGTCCTCCTCTCTGGCCCCTGTCCCGGAGCAGCCTGCCTGCACCCCAAACTCATCCCCAGCCGTGCCCCACCCCAGAGCCCACACCCCCAGTCAGAGCTTTCACCCCCATACCGCACCCTCAACCTGGGAGTTGTTCAGCCACGAGGTGGTGCACAACGAGGAGCGGCCCTTCCACTGCGACCTCTGCGAGGCCTCCTTCAAGCGCCACTCAGACATCAAGAGCCACCGGCTGGTGCACACCGAGGAGCAGCCCTTCCACTGCGAGATGTGCGGCAAGAAGTTCAAGCGCTCGTCCAACCTCCAGGAGCACCGGGGCATTCACACCGGCGAGCACCCCACCAGTGCGCCTGCTGCGACAAGAGCTTTAAGATGCCCTACGAGCTGCAGTGCCACATGCTAACCCACTGCACCGAGAAGCCCTTCAAATGTGGAGACTGTGGGAAGGACTTCCCCACCTCGAACTCGCTGCTGCTGCATCAGCACCAGCACTGTGACGACAAGCCCCACGTCTGTGGCGTCTGCGGCAAGAAGTTCACCTACGGTCACAGCCTCAAGGTGCACGAGCGGGTTCACACCAGCGAGCGCCCCTTCGTCTGCATGACCTGCGGCAAGGCCTTCAAGCAGTCATCCTACCTGGTGATCCACGAGCGCTCGCACACAGGCGAGCGGCCCTACAAGTGCGAGGTGTGCCAGAAGGCCTTCGCCCGGCCCTCGCTGCTGCTGCAGCACCACCGGGTGCATAGCGAGGAGCGCCCCTACAAGTGCAGCTTCTGCGACAAGTTCTTCAAGGACCTGGCCTACCTGACGGTGCACGAGAAGGTGCACACGGGCGAGACCCCCTACAAGTGCAGCGTCTGCGACAAGGGCTTTGCCCACCCCTCCAACCTGCTGCAGCACCAGCGTGTGCACCGTGACGGCTGACCCGGCTCCTGCTCCAGCACGCCCCGCCGGGGAGTGCGGCCCAGGCTGCATGCAGCTCCCAGTGGGTGCCACTCTAGCTGGGCCCATGGAGGCTACATCTCCCAATGTGCACTGCAGTCCCTCGTGCATCAGGGTGAAGCAGTGCATGCTGGGAGGAGCAGTCCAGCCAGGCCACACCCTCACACTATAAGGGGCACTGAAAGCTCCTATGTGCGCATCGGGTGTGGGCTATGGGTCTGCGGAGGACTGGGTTGCCCTGGCCTGAGTCGCTGCTTGGCTCCAGGGCCCCGTGGCCCTTCTCTGGGCACTCCCTGGAGCTCGGGGAAAGGGAGGAATGGTTGGCTCCTCAGCGAGGGGTTTGCTCCGTGCCTGTCGTGCAGGGGGCCAGACTGTCTCCTCTGTGCTCCCCAGCTAGAAAGGGGTTTGTGAGCCCCACCTCTGTGCCATTGCCCCATGGCAGCCTCCCGACAGGGTCAACACACAGACTGGGCACAGCCAGGGTGGCCCCTTGGGGCTGCTCCATCAGCATCCCTGTGACCCAGGGTTCCTGTCCTTGGATAGCATGGTCCCTGCCAGGGGGTCGCGAGCTGGCAACTCCCCGTGTAGCTGGGAGGGGCTTTCTGGGCTCCTGGGTGAGCCCCAGGGGGATGGGAAAGCAGGTTCCTTCTCAGTCAGTGACAGGGCTCCCAGCTGCCTCCAGCTGAGTGGAGCTTCTGCTCGCTGTACCCCACTGCAATGAGGGCTGGGGAGTCAAGCCCCCGTCCACCCAGTTTTGGATGCTGGGTTGCTTTCCTGTGGGAACTGAACCCACAGGGTGAGGGCTGGGCCGCAGCCCCTCCTCGCGTCTGGCACCCCCAGCCCGTGGGCGCTGGGATGTGTACGTGACCGAGTCACACCCGTCGCTCCACAGACAGAAGGGGAGGTAACGAGATCAGCTCAAACCTTTTCCCCTCTCTTGGTGTCGTAGTAAGAAAACAACTTACACCACATCCAGATCGGGCTCTCTGAGCCTG